ACAGTCGTTGAGAACCATGGTTCATTTTGCAAACTGCCAATAATGTATGAGTATCGACTGACTTTCCTCACAGAGGTCAATTCCCGTTGGGCTGTGGTGGCCTTTTAACATGACGTTGGAGTACGATTGAACTTAGGAGCTTTAGATGTGACCCCTCGTATAAAACTCCTCATATTCAAGACTTTGCTTCATGTTTCCTTTCGGGACGTTCTGCATATGGAGCAGCCAAAATGCAGAAAATGGAAACTCACTGGACCACTCTACAGCAGACATGTGGCACCATCCTGACCTGAAACACACTCACATGTGTGTGTGTTTCAGTGTGTATGGGGGGTAGTTATTAGAGGTTTCGACTAAAAATCCAGACAGATTGCTTGAACGTAATTGAAGGCTGAAAATAAAGGCTCTCCAGAGTCATTTCACAGTTTCCCCCCCTCTCCAGATAAGCTCGGATGAACTCCAACCCCAGCACTCTACCATTATCTGCAATTACCATAAAATCATCTGTGTTCAAATACAGCACTGTCATCCTCCATCTCCCAATAATATATGATGTTTTATGGGGTTTCATTCAGAAAGGCAGGAGTCATCCAGTCCGCAGAGCACACACAGGAAGCACTGAGGGTTTGGAGAGTTCACTGAGATGTTGGTAGGAAGTCTGGCTCTCTGGTCTGGCCACTAAGACATCAGCGTCGTGATTCAACAGCAGGAATAGTAGTGCAGTAGAGCAGCATGCCTAATGCAATAACTGACTACATATTTAATTTCATTTCATAATTCAGCTCCTGTCACTGCTGCTTTTATAATTCTTACTTTTTAAGTTTCTCAACAGGTTCACTGCAAACAAAGCGTATGCTGCTTTTAGACCAGTCACATGGTGCTGCTTATGTGAACCCAGAGCCACCATTTCTGTTCGTTTTCCTTTGACAAACTTACTTAATAAGCTCAAATGTGAAGTCTTGTTTATTTGTGGTGTTTTCTAAGGCAAGCATCACAATTATTCAATATTCTGCACTATACGCATAACTGATACCTCAAATTACGTGGCCTGTTGAGGGTTATTACTTTTATTTTCTAAGCGATCAGACTTATTATTTTCACCTGGCAGATACCTGAGGATACATCTCATAGACACATTGACTTAGATCAACCATTCCAATCAACTTATAGCTTCTTGGTTGTGTATAGTTGACTCAGACTCTAGAACAACTAAGAAGAAATTACAATTATAAAGAGAAACAGGTCCGCAAAATATCCTGTGTTCTTTCAGCCATTTCCAACATATATTTTGCCTTTGTAGCTGTTTTGCAAATTACTTATAATTTGCATATCCCAGATTAAGCTCCAGCCATATCCTGCTGAGCTGTGGTGTTGCATGAGGTAGCGATGTGTCCTATGAAGTCCTGGCTCTGTTGAAGCACACCCCTGTCGATAAGAGGTGAGGCACATAAGAAAAAACCTCATCCGCCCCAGCAGCGCAGAGGGAATTAGCATATGTTAGTTGCCTGTGGGCCGAGATTATTGTTCTGTCTTAAATTCAATTTCTTCTACCTCAGGACAAGCTTCTGTACTAGGATTAACTCTCTCTGAGCATCCGTCACTCAGTGTCCTCAAAGGTACGCTGTCTTCTCCCTGGCTTTGTGGCTAGCGTGTGACATGTTATCAGGCTGTACCGCATGGATTGGGTTTAAATGATTCACGGACTGCTGTGTGTGTCAGAGGTGTTGAAACTTAAATGATCGCTGTGAACTCAACAGTCAGAACACAGGCATCTCTAGGATTCATCCGTGTAATGGTGTCACTCTCTGAGTGGAGTAGATGTTGAAATATTATAATGTAGTTCTCGTGTGACCCACAATCTCTAATTTCCTGTGGAAGTTATGAAGCAAGCAGGTGTGAGTGTGTTTGATGTGGTATGCTGGCAATGGATATGTCGGATGTTAGAGATTAGAGATATATGTATAAATGTTCTACATATGTGAGCAGGTGAGTTTCAGAGAATCTTATTTAGTCTGATTCACAAACAAATGACTCTTATGAGTCAGTTCGTTTAGAGAATCAACATCTGACTCGCGTTCTAAACTGCAAGTTAGTGAAACTTAAATCTATTATTACTAACTTGTTTAATGGCAATGTGTAGTTAGAAAAACATTTTCAACAGTAAAGTTAATGATTAATCAATAAAAAAAAAGAATTATATTATATTATATTATATTAATTCATTTAATTGTAATACACTGTATTATTATTGTGTTGCAAACTCTACATTTGCCATGTAAACCAGTCAGCAACAAAACTGATTTTATATATATTTGTGCATATTTATATATAAATGTGCAAACTATCGTTCATAGGTTCGGAGCTGAATTTTTCAAAAATATTTTTGATAATTGATTGATTTGATTAAGTATCTTATGCATTTATTTGATCAAAAATACAGTAAATACAGCTGTTTTTTGTTTCATATATTTTATCATATTTTTTATATTTTGATGTTCTTCAGGTTCTTTAATGGATAGTAAGTAGAAATATAAATATTTGTAACATTATACATGTCTTTAATGTCACTTTATTTAATTGATTTGTTGCTGAAGTAAAGTAAAAAAACGGAAAGACTCCAAAAATGTGGTTGTGTGTATTATTATTATTATTATTAGTAGTAGTAGTAGTAGTAGTATAATTTATTTATTTATTATTATTATTATTATTAATACAAAGCAAGCCCAGAGTCAGCCCAGCTGGGCTGTTTTAGTTGAGCTTGCCTTTCTCCAGACTGACACCTAATATATATGAATCCCTCAGCAGTTTCAGTATTACTGCATTAAACAGGGTGATAAAATGAGCAGTGACTCACCGTATTGAAAACTTGAAGACTCCGAGGTATTAACTGAACTGAAGTTTATGGAGAGAAATGTTCTCTGGTGGATTCATCAGAGACTTATAACGAAATAAAAAGATCCCTTCGGCTAAGTTAGGCTGAAAAGAGCTTTATTGTCTGTATCTGAGGCGAATACCACTGAGATCTAAGGAAGTTTTTCACACCGGTTAATCACTGACTGTTGTGAGCTGTGATTATGACCAGTGCTTTATAACAACTCTGAAGTAAAATACACCTCCATATTTGACCTCCGGTTCTCATCTGCAGTTTCTCCCTTCTCCCGCCGGTTCTGCATCGCTGCTAACGTGCTAATTGCTTTGTCACAGTTATGTTTTGACAGGAAGCTGCGCTGATGTAGCAAGCTAATTAATGGGTCTCTAAATACAGCCCGATTTAGACAAGAAATGCAAATGTGACACCGGTGAAAGAAATTGTTTGCGCAGAGCATGACGGTTGGGCCAGATTTTCGGCAACACTCCTGGGAGCTGCAGGTGCCCAATTGCTGCTTTACAAAACGCCACTGTGAGTCCTGAAAGTTGGTGTGTGTTTGTTGTGCCTCTGAGGGGCTAGTTATCTGCCGCTTGCAGCCCGGTTCCTCTTGACCTCCCTCGGGCTGAGTGGCCCCGCGTAATTGAGTGCCACCTGACAGGTTGTTCTGAAAGGTGGGTTATCTGCCCGCTCTAATCCCACTGGAGAACGGCACAGGGGGAGGAAGGGGACAAGCCCCTGAGGGCTAGAGTCCCTGCCTGCCAGCCATTATGGGAGAAGTCATTTAGGGACACAACTTCGAAAGTCTTAATGACTTGTGGTACGTAGAGATGTAGTAACTCATATTTGTTTGCATGTCTGCTTTACGTGAATAAACGAAAAGATGCTAAAGGTTAACATAACAAATCGGAAAAGTATAAGACGCATAAGTTGGAAAGCAACTGATATTGCATGTCCTTGTTTGAAGTATGAAAGAATGGCATAATGAATTGGATCAAGTTAAATGAGCTTTCTTGTATATTTGAGCCTTCTTCCAGTTCAAACGATTCTATAAAAAGATTGAAGAAAATTAGTTTGAGAATCAGACATCATTTATCTGCATTCCAATTATGTAATTAATGAAATTATGAATGAACTACAAACTTGTGAAACATTGTTACTGACATGAAAGCAATGCTATACGTAATATAAAACTGTTGATTTATAGGCTATAAGTTTGTAAGTTTACAAACAATGTTTCAATGTTATTAATGCAAATTTGATTAATTTGATTATTTTTATTGCACAAATTTATGGGATTTTTACTTTTTATATTTAAAAATGTAAAATTTAATTAAAATAATTATTAAAAACATGTCATATTTTAAATCTAACAATAACAATTATATATAAATAAATAAATAAATAAATATATATACACGTGTGTGTGTGTGTGTATATATATATATATATATATATATATATATATATATATTAGTTAGATTCAAAATATTATGTATTAAACATTAAGTATTACATACTTCAATAATAATAAAGTAATATGCATTTATTTATTATGTATTTTATTGTATGTATTTATGTATTTTATTATGCATTTACTAAATAATAATAATAATAATAATAATGATCATCTTCCGCATTTTTTATTACATCAGTTGCAATGCTTTACGGGATGGTAGGTCATGCTAATAATGTCTGATTTGCAAATTAATTGTATAGTCAAATAATTGATTTTGTATAATAATAATAATAATAATAATAGAAGTATTTTAGAAATATATTTTGCAACACTACACCTCTGTAGACAATCGGTCATCATCTTCTTGCAGTGTTCATCTGCAACAGGAGCAGATCATCTCTGTTCTGTTGGCCGAAGCCCAGTGAGCTTTTGTTTTCTGGTGTGGCTCCGACATGCCCTTCAGACTGCGTGCATCAGATTGCACTGTATCCTCATGCTGTTTGAACGGCACATTAACTTCCAGACAAGCTCAAGGACAAGAAACTCGCCCAATAGAGAATGCTTGAGAGTTCACTGTTCTCTCTGTGTGTGTACACTTACACTGACTGTTGATTTCCTGTCTGTTTAATGTACTGACCCTGTGCTTTTGCCTTTGTTCGTCTCGTTCTCTTGCAGGCGGAACCTCACCAAGCTCTCGCTGATCTTCAGTCACATGTTGGCCGAGATCAAAGCCATCTTTCCAGGTGGACAGTTCCAAGGAGACACATTCCGCATTACTAAGGCAGACGCCGCCGATTTTTGGAGAAGGTCTTTTGGTGAAAAGTAAGTTTTCTTCTCATTTCAAGATGCATGTGCCAAATCAGATCTGATCTTTCCAGTTTTCATTACAGCTCCAATCAATTAAAGCTCTTTGTCATGGAGAAATGCCTTTTCTCTCCTCCATTTAGCAGCGAGTAAGTGGGGTGAACTGTCTGGTCATGTGCTGGAGTGCTGCTCTTGAGTCAGGCCTGTGATTTAGCATACATCTGCACACTAAACCAGACATGCTGATGGCTTTCCTAACTGCTCTAGTCAGCATTTGAGAGGTGAAGGTTACTGGTTAGTTGATTTTTTTTTTTCACGCTAATTAAGAGCATTAAGGTTTTTTTGCCTCTTAATGCTGGAATATGAGGTTTCTCAGACAGCTTGACCAGCCTGGGCTTGTTTGCTGGGAAGAGTTTCAGTTTGCTGTACTGCCAGTTTATAAATATAGATACAGAAAGAGATAATGCTGTGACAGTTCATGCTAGTCTATTAGTAAGTTTGGCTAGTTCAGGGATCCGGGTACCCCAGGGTATGCTAGGTGGTCCATGAAAGAGAAAATGCTAATAAATAAAAGCATTAATAAAATGGAAAGTAAATTACAGAATTACAGAAAAATCACAGAATTCGACATCATTATAGTTTTATTCTGCATTATTGAAACTTTTCATTTCATTCTGTTTACAGACTTAACTTTGTGTGTTGTGTTATGTAGTTTTAACAGTGCTCTAACAAATTAATACTTAATAAAACAGAATATTTTTTCCAGAAAATATTTTATGCACTTTAAAAAAAAAAAAAAATTTCTACAGAAAAAAGCAAATTTGGCAACACCTTAGATTAAGTAACACATATTCACTATTAATTAAGTGATTTCCCACGGTAAACTCTTACTTACTGCGTATTGATAGTAAGATAGTTGTCGTAGTAGTTATGTTTAGATATTGAGTCGGGTTAAAGGGTTAATTCATCCAAAATCGAAAATTCTGTTATTAATTACTCACTCTCAAGTTGTTCCAAACCCGTAAGACCTTCGTTCATCTTCGGAACACAAATTAAGATATTTTTTGATTAAATCCGAGTGCTTTCTGACCCTCCATAGACAGCAACACAACTGCAATGTTTCCAGGTCCAGAAACATAGCAAGGACATCGGTAAAATAGTCCATGTGACATCAGTGGTTCAACCGTAATTTTACGAAGCTACGAGAATACTGTCGAGAATACTTTTTGTGCGCAAAGAAAACAAAAATAAGGACTTTATTCAACAATTCTTCTCCTCCTCATTCCGTCTGCAGCGCGAGCCGCCATTGTGGAGAGACTATCACAACGCATGCACTGGCTTCCGGTTCATGTAAAAAACGCAATTTTGGGTGAAGTAACCCTTTAAGGGATCTAGAATATGGTCATACAAAACAAGGCATTAATATGTGCTAGGGCTGTCAAAATGGCTGAAAAACTAAATTCGAATTTTGTACTTAAATATTATCAATATTCGAATTATTTTCGAATTTAAAAGGCATAATTTCAGAAAAAAAGCTTTTGGCTTCTCTCCTGAGGCCACAAGAGGGCGCATCAAGCAAAATATTACTCACGTTTATTCAAAGCAATAAAATAACACGACTATCTTTGAAAAATGTGCATAATGTTTAAAATAATGTTTATAAACCATAAATAATTAATTAATTAATTAAGTTTCTTAAAGTTTCTAGTTTAATACAAAGGACCGATACTTTTTCTATTTAAAAACATGAGATGCAGTGGGATGGGGAAAAAAATCGCCATAAAGTCTCGAGACATGTTTTTAAAAAGTTGAACTTGCATTTATTTTACATGGCTTTCTAAACATGCCGCTCTCTTGTGCTAGACATGAGTGCAACGGTGATAGATGTCCCTCTAGATGTCCCTCTGCATTCTGTGTGAATGGCTTGATTTCAGTTTTGCCGTAAACGAGATCTTCTCTAAAACTAAAAAAGTAAAAAAAAAACTTTAAAAAAAAGCATTAAAATCTTTTCTGCCACTGATAAGGCTGCCTGACACACACCTAAAATTCGAATGCAGCGTTTTTACATTCAAATGTGGATTTTTATTTTAAATTCGACGAATTTTCGAAATTCGAATTTTTTTTTGACAAAAAAATGCCATAGCATTATACTACTAATAAACAGCCAATATGCTAGTAATATGCATACTAATAAGTAACTAGTTAATAGTGAATAGTGTTCCCTAATCTAAAGTGTTATTGAAAATATATAGCTGGCATCAAAATGTTAAGAACATTTGTATTAATTTATCTAGATATAATATAAATGTAATATGATATATGTATGTAATATAATATAATATATATGTAATATGTAAGGAATAACTGACTCAGGTCCATTGAATTATTAGAAAATAATGCACACCCACACATTAGAAAGTGATGTGAAAAGTGGAGTGGCCGTTACACCTCGGGTGTACATTATTTTCTAATAATTCAATGGACCTGAGTCAGTTATTCAACTTAAACTATGGTTACCACCCCTCAAGAGATTTTTCAGATGTTGTATTTCAAGATATTCATCAGGTTTTTGTCATTAAAACGCTCTGGTGTGTAGGACTAATTTCTTACGCATCGCATCCCCCGCCTCTGTTGCTAATTCCAAAATGTCATTTTAGAGCTAGTAATGGAGGCTGAGCTGTTGATAGCAGACTAATGCAGTTATTAAGTTATTAGAGAGAGATTAAACGTGTGTGAATTACCTGAGTAATTCAATTACCGGAGTAATTTTGTGGCCAAAACGTGGTAATCATTTGTCATTTTCATTGTTTACCATATTTATTTGCTTGGTCAGTGTCATTTGTGAGTTTTGGTTCTTTTGCTTTTGTATGACCTTTCAAATAATGGAAATCATTTGGCGAAGTGATATGAACATGTAATGCGGTCAAGACCTGTCTGGAACTACTTTAGCTGTGCCTTTCCCTGAAAATAATTGCATGCCTTAGAACATTGGTATTTAACTAAAATAGTCATGATATTTTTAGTGCAGTGGCTGTGCATCTTTCATTCTATTCCTTTTCTTTTTTTTCCCCGAGTCTATTATGTCTAATATATAGTTTTGCAAATCTCTAGTATGTTGCTGTGAACGTTCTTGCTGTAAGAGATTTTAATTTTGATTATATGAGTTTGTTTGGGGAGTTATTCTTGGATTGTAAGGTTATTTTAATTGCTTCTCCTGAAGCAAGAAAAAATTAAGTAATACTATGGAATTAAGCTGATTTCCATTCCAAGCACAGCACTCTCCAGATCTTTAAAATGTATCGTCCGTTTGCAGATTGCAATGTTTAATTCATTTGCAATCTCTGTGGATGCTGAATATTTTATCTTCTGTTTAATCCAGCAAATCGGAGGGTTAAAGAAAGTGTGAACGTGTGCATGGATACACAGTCCGTGCTAGGGACAGAAAGGCCTCGTAATGGGGCAGGTGTGATCAGCTATCCCAGAGAGGAAGAGCAAGAGAAGGGGAGAGATTGAGAGACGGGAAAAGACCAGCGCAGTCTCTAGTGTGTATCTAGTTACCGCTCTGATATATTATAGATTATTATAAAGGTCTACTTCCCGCTCTGTACAGAGGAAGTGTGCATGAGTCATTGATATGAGAAGCAGAGCGGCCTTCCTTCAGCTCTTCTATCTCTGGTTCTCTTGCTCTGTGTGGAAATAGAAAGCTCAGCATCCTTATGCCATCAATCCTGTGAGCACTAGAGCTCAAATCTGTAGGCTGCAGAGTTAGCTGCTCAGCGAACCTATATATGCATGTCTGTGCACGTTTTGTGTACTGAGACAAGATAAATGAACTCGTTTAACATGTACAGTCTGGTCGGGTTGTCTGGATTTGAGAATTTTTAAAAGTTGTAAGGAATAAGATGTATTTTTGATTTCTAGGTCACTGATAAAATAAGTAAATGTGTGACATTGATCATTGGAATTTGGCCAGATGTCCTTGTTTCCGAGTTTTGCGCAAACTTGTAAAGTTCAATTATCTTGATGAAATATAGTCTTGAAAATAAAATTTGTAATGAAGTAGTTTCTATTAATGTTCAGTGACAAATAAGACTGTTTAAGAAAAATATAGTTTAGAACAATTTAAATGCCCCAGTGGGTTTGATTTGGTATAGACATTTTTTTCAAATATTAATAAGCAGTAAAGTACAGTAGTTTTGGCTGCTGAAAATTCAGCTTTGCCATTATAGGAATAAATGAAATTTTAAAATATAATAAAATAGAAAACAGTTATTTTAAGTACTAATAATTTTTCACAATATTAGTGTTTTTATTGTATTTTTGATCAAGTAAATGCAGCCTTGGTGAGAATAAGAGACTTCTTTCAAAAGCGTTAGAAAATCTTACTGAACCCAAAAACTGAACAGTAATGTAGATTTCTTTCTAAGAAATAATAATCAAATATCAAACTTTTTCTTTTCAAGAACTTTATTATTTTAATGAGGCTTCTTTTTCTTCATTATGATATCAGGACAGTTGCATCACACTGCATTTTTGACTTTGAAATAACAGAAAAAAATGATATCGTCATAGAATTCTTTGTGAATTCATTGAATGTATGAATTGCATATTTAATGTCGTTTTGAATAAATTATTAGACAAGACAAAAAAAACTTTGCATCATGTCTTTTGAGGTAAGAAAATGCAAAAAACAAGATGCATTTTTACTAGTAAACTCAGACTTTTGGACCCCTCTGTGTGTATATATATATATTTCTAGACCTCTTTGGAAAGATTCTATAAACGTTCTTTGTGAAAACAAGACTGTTGTCACTGCAGTAATTCATCTAGCAGGTCAGATTGCTCGGAGACTCGAAAGATAATATCAGACCTTATAAGTCCTCTCTCTCTCTCTCT